ATAATTTGTTATTATTATTGTTGTTCGATTTTGTGCTTCCATTGAACTATGAACGCATGCGTCACTGTGCGGCATAGAAACGAAGAGATGGTCTAGAAAAACCACTAGGAATGATTAAAGTTTTAAAACGAAATTGAAAACAAAACATAATTGCCGAAACAGAATTAATTGCTAAGTATATATGTATATATGCATATATACATATATACTTAGCAATTAATTCTGTTTCGGCAATTATGTTTTGTTTTCAATTTCGTTTTAAAACTTTAATCATTCCTAGTGGTTTTTCTAGACCATCTCTTCGTTTCTATGCCGCACAGTGACGCATGCGTTCATAGTTCAATGGAAGCACAAAATCGAACAACAATAATAATAACAAATTATTAACGCTCTTTATTGTGTATTTGTTGTCCGATTAGGGGGGATGTTAGGCAGAAGGGGGTTACATACATACATATGTACGGTACGCTTTTGCTTAATGTATTTTATGGCAATTTCAGGGTCAACACAACAACAAAACATATAGATATATGTATACATATATACATTTCTCGAATCGCAGCAAATGTTTGTTGGCTGCTGGTGGGTTTAAAGTGTCTCAGCTGTGCTCTATGCAGTGCTCTATGTAAATCGTGCGAGAAACTGGTTTTTCGAATGATTAATTTCATAAGGCAAGAGTCAAAGAAACTTTTCTCACATATTTCGATCCATACATACATACATATATACATATATTTACATATCATAACAAAACGTTCAGAGAGTTTGGTATTGAAGTGCAGAATTGACTTTTGTTGCCTTTGTCAATTTCTCGACATTTGTCACAACTCAAGCAGGCAGTTTTGTCGTCGTAATTTTGCTGGAATTCAAGTATGCATATATCAGGAACTTGGCCAAGACAAAGACGTGTTTCAGTGCGTGGAGTTTGTTAAGACAAAGGGGGGGCTTACATGAGAGAAGAGGTATTTAAATAATATAAAGAATCGGCCAAGGCCAACACAGAACTCGAGATAGTCAAGTATTTGCTAGGAATCCGCCTTGTGAAAGGGGCTGGGCGAGGCAATATGTAAACTGTCTGTAAAAATTCATAGACAATTGCGAAAAAGGTGCCTTCGAACCGGCTCACGATTCTTAGGAAATATATAGATGTATATATACACCTATAGGTGTGCCGTTACTGGCGGAGGTTGCTTAATATCGTTACATCATTAATAATCGTATCTTATCACAATTTCAATATATAACCATAAGTTCTTATTTGCAATCACTGTGTGGCATAAATTTATATTTATCAATATTGATAAATGGGTCACTGAGCAGAGTTGTCGACTCATTAAGCAGGAATAAAACTAAGTTCTCATTAGATATAGAAATCGTAAGCTCTCCGTAAGAGAAATACTGCTGTGCACATAGTTAGAGAACTTTATTGATAGCTTTCCATTTTATCTTATCTTATCGGCTGTGAACAAATTTTCCGAGTCTTGTAGCATATATCTGGAGTATCTTCGATTGCTAACTATGTTAAGGGTTTGTCTGCTATTGAACTGATTTTGCAGTTGAGTTTACATTTGGGTTCGTTCAGCTGTACTGCATGCCCATTTATATCCGTCCAAATCAGTTGACCGCAGGGCACTCACTCGCCTGGCCAATTACCGTAAGCCAAAAGCAAAGAATTAATACTCTCCCCCCAAATTGGGCAGTTACTTAATGAGAGCCTGACTTACGTGTGTACAAGTGCGAACCGTTTCACAAGTCCAAAAAGTCGACGTCTCGTCATTAATATCCAATTAAAGTTTGCCATAAATGTTGTTCTAATTTGCACGCGTCGCGTCATTAATCAAAATCCAGACCAGAAATACAGCATATTGAAACAGTTTCGCCTATGTCGCCCAAGTCTCAGTCTCTCAATCTCGCGGGGCTGCTTGAAAATTAGCTACGTTTAAATAATTTATTTACGAGCACAGCTCAATACATAACGCAGAATCTGGTCCCATTAACATAATACAAATGTCTGTACAATTATTTAATTTAACATGCGCATTTAAGTAGCTAAAAGACTTGAAAAGATTTGTGAGCTTAGATTTGCATGCAGTTTTACATTAAAATGTTAATAACAGAGGAGTCTAACTTAACAGGAAAGCGTTAGCAACAGCGGAAACGCTTTACAAACATGTCTGTTAACTTAACATAAACCTGTTATGTTACTACATTAAGCAAGCAAATTCATTTAAATTTATTTTAATTCTGCATTATATTTTATTTTAAAAATGAAACAGATGTTTTTTTTTTTTTCGCTTCAAGCAATTCCTTTCTCAAAATCCACTCGCAGGTGAAAAGTGTTCTTAATGCGGCGTACTTAATAAGCAACTCTCGCTTGTGCATATTCCTATTATTAACTACCGTATTGCCTTAAGAGGCACATGCTCTGCTGCCGCTTCGGTTCGACGTCAGTCAGAGATCTTTTGTTGGTGCGTCTGAGGCTGGCCAAAAGCCAACAAACAGCCAAGAGATTTGAGCCTACATAAAAAACCGTTCGCTGACTTCTTGATTGTTTGTTCAGCTTGGCTTAAAGTGAGCGCAGGCGTTGAGCTTTTTGTCATGTATATGTATGTATGGGTATATGTGTGTGACTTTGCAGCTGTGCACTCGCGCGTGTGTGTGTGTGTGTGAGAGTGTAATGTACTTGTAGTCAAAGTCACTTTCAGCTTCGTTGCGTTCTCATAATTTTTGTGACCAAATTTAGAGGCGATCGCAGCAGCAGCAGCACGTGTGGGCGATCATAAGCCCAAAAAAAAGTAAATAAAAACAAATCAAATTTTGTCGTATTTCGCTAATCTTTAGAAAAAAGTCTTGAACACAGTTGCTTTTATTTTTGAGCAGCGTTTGCCTTATTAGCATACGGTCTTGTCTTCACTTCTTGGCGGCAGCGCCTGCCTAGGTCAGTTATCTCCCAACTGATCAGATCGGATCGTAGCAGCTGCTGATTCATGCTAAGATCTTGGCTACATGACAATCTGCCCACCCGCATACGAAGCCCGCTTGGGCGTGTCGTGTAGAAGTGTGTGTGTGTGTGTGTGTGTGTGTATACGTGTGTGTACAATTGATGTAATATGGCTACCGTTGTTGTTATTATTGACACAGTTTCTGGCCTCGCACAGTTGTTGCCTCTGCCTTTGGGTTAAGCTCCGTACTTAAGCTTTTACGCTGGGGATTTTGTGCCGTGTCATAGGCCTTGCCACTTGGCCGACGACTTTTCAGACGCAATCTCAAAGGCATGTTGCGCTGTGCTCTGGTGGGCAGACAGCCAGCCAGCCAACCAGCCAGTTAGCTAGCTAGCTAGCTAGTCAGCCATCCGGCCAAGTTGATTAACTTGATTGGTAACGCAAATTCGCAACTATTCGCCAACACACACACACACACACACACATACACAGAGAGAGAGACAATCGCTCGAGCCCAAGAACTCAACGGGAAGGCAAAGCGGCAGCAAGTCAGCTTAGCGCTGTTAAGTAGCTTTCCATGTTGACTCCATTTACTGTCCAATTCTCTTGGCTGGCGATAATTCGACAGTAGCTGGGCGTTGCGTCAAGGACGGCCATTCATCTGTGAGTCGGATATGTGGAGCTCTAAAAATATATTATATAATATACATACATATATGCATAGTATTAAATAGTTCTAAAGTTTGTGAACTCGTTTGATTGAGTGTTTCGCTTTATTTTTATTTATTTTCATTTTTATTTTTTTTTTATTACAGTTTTGATGACAGTCTCGTGTCTTCCCGGCGACGCAAGGAGCGATCCAAGCGTTCGCATCGCAAATCGCCAGCCACTGGCCGGCGTCAGCACAAATACCGTTATAGGGAGGAGACCTCACACTCGAGCTCAAGGCGCCGGCATCGCGATCGCGCCAAGGACGAGCGCGACAGCGGACGCAACAATCGCCAGTCGCCACCTAAGGTAAAAACTTTTCATTTTCTAAGCTCCAAACCATGCAAAGCAAACGAACGATTTTAGGCTGAGCAATTCAACAATAATTTCAATTAAAAAACCGAACACAATTCATTAATTTATGGTAAAAGAAAGATCAAGCAATTAGTTATTTAAGAAAAAATTCGAAATCGTATACACACACACATGGATACGTATCTCTATGTGTAAACCTGATCAAGTTTTCTTCGTATATATTTAAATGTGCTCACCTCAGCCGCTTGCCAATTTTGTTGCAATTTTGAATGAATGTTGTCGTCCTCCCGATCAGTTATCAAATCACCGTGCGAGACACGATGCTGTTCTTTAAGCGTTATTTCGAAAAGTCGCAGCTAGCGGCCAAACAGTTTGAATCTGCGCAGATTCCATGCTACATCAAGATGCGTGAGATGCCCGGACCCCAACGCATCGATCATCATCGCGATCTGTTGCTGGAGTGCTCCTCGTTGCGCTATAGGCCATACACAGAGGATTGGATTGTCATCGAGTACTTTGCTGATCACGATAGTGATTACCTCGTAAGCCTCCTGCTTGATTGTCGTAATACCTTCCGTTCGCTCGCTCATTCCTTCCTTCATCAGCTGCCTTGAAAAGCAACTGTTTCACTAATAAGCGATTGCAACGCATCCACGATCTTGCTCTGACCTGTGTTGTCTCAACAGTCTGAAAGAAAAACTGTTGTCTGATTTTGTTTTCGTTTTCTTCGTATATTTACTCAATTTCCCCCACTATATACATATATGTCTGATGACTCTCGCAATCGCTCATCTTATCGCCTTGCGGCTGTGCTAATTTTGTGATTAAATTGTAATCATTTGCAAGCTAAATATATAATCAATCTCAATTCTCTTTGTGGCTCTGCACACGAGAAACCATCCACGAATTAAATAGGACAAGAATCGTCAGACTCGAGCTAAAATTCACCGTTGTTTATGAGACTTTGATAGATTATAAAAATATTGGCACATATGTTGAAAAAAAAAAAAAAAAAAAAAAAAAATGTTATCAGCTTTTATGATATATATCCATGTCCCTCCAAATCAAGGTTATATTTACTTGAATTCCACGTCTGATTAAACTACAAACTAACGTATCTAATCTTAATCAACCAAAGCATTTCTTTAGAATATTAAGCATGACTTTGATAAGTGCTGTTAACTCGTGAGACTCAAATATCTGATAAGACGAAAGCGATCGACCATCTCAAAATATAAACTAGATCAATTGTATAATATATATATATATATATACCAGAGAGAGAGAGAGAGTGTGTGTGTGAGTTGACGATAATCTGTTGAATTAATTGCTCTGCCTCGGGTCTGTCTGTCCTCGTTATTTTCGTTCAATTGATCATTTGACATTAACAACACTCGTTGGGTGGGGCGGGCAGTGGCCAGTCAGTCGATGGCAATTGAGTGGACGAGCGTTTGTCGACTGTCGCATTAAAGAAGCTCATCAAGATTCAGTACTTTCGACAGTTGGAGCAGCAATACAAACGGCGGCAATATGCCCAGGAGGCGACGACGGCGTCGACAGCGGCGCCAACTTTAAATGGCAACCGTAATGGGGACAATGGGGAGTCGGGCGACCACAATAGGAATGGGGCTCTGGTCAGCCGTTGTCGGCTATTGAAGCGTCAACGTAATCTATTCGATTTGGCTGCACTCTGCGATATGCCCGTGGACCGTTATACCGGCGATAGTTGGATTCTCGATGAGTATTTCGTCGATCACAGCGACGACTATTTAGTGAGTGAGCGAACGGGGAACCGGGAGAGCAAGAGCTAACAAACACTCACTCACACTCTCAGTGCTGCATGATGTGGGCTGCATGATTTGCCCCCTACACAGTGTGCTGCTCTCCCATACACAAACACACACAGACACAGACACACACGCTCTCACATTCACTCACTCTCTCTCACACACTCTATGACTCTCTGGCTGGCCAGCTGATCGAGTGCGCGCGCAGCTGCTCCTCCTAGCGCCTGTGTTTCGCCATTTGCTCAAAAAGCGTTTTCGCCTTGGGGGCCGACGCCATTGGGGTAAATTAAAAATATACCACACACCAACAGTAAAACGGAAAATCCACAATGCTCGGCATGCTTTTTCGTTTGAGCATTTTCCAAATCTGAAACTGAAACAGAAACAGATTCAAATCTTCGTTTGTCGGTTGTGTATCGTTCTCGGCCAACGTACGTTTGTTGAGGCCTTTGGCTAACGTGTAACGGTACGTGTTTATACACGCGTCTATCTCTCTCTCTCTTTCTCTGTCTTTCTCTTTCTCACTCTCGTTCTGTCATACTCTGGCTGCCTACCTCCATCTCACTCCAGCTCACTAACTGTCGCGAATTTGTTTATATTTGTGTGTGAGTGTGTGTTTGTGTGTGTAGGGAAATATATTTCAGATACATGTTTAGCGATTACTTCACTTGAATTGTCCAAAAGAAAACGCATTTGCCCCTGAGACCAACGGCACATAGGCAACTGCAGATATATAAAAAACAAGATATAAAACAATTATAAAGAGCATTTGTTAAGCATCGAGCGTGACATAATCAGGCAGCCCAAGGAACTAAATAAAAAATAAAAACGAAAAAGAAAACTTGAACAAATTTAAGTGCTTTAAAAATAAAATCGAAACAGCAGCAAGAACAACTACAAAAGAGCCGCACAAGAAAAAAAGAAACAGAAAAACATTAGATAAAAAACATGTATTATAAAGTATAAAGTACTTGCGTAAATTGTCGCCCCAAAGACAATTCGTGGTCCAAATGGGTTTTTGATGTGCCATGCGCTTAGGTGAATAATAATCAAAAGGCACAGCTGTAAAACTGTAAAATCGAGGCCCCAAATTTGCAGTCTATCAGGTCTGAAGGAGGCGCATTTCGTTTAGCAGAAGAAGAAGAAGAGGCAGAGAGTACAACGCGGCGGCCAACCAAATCAAAACAAAAACCTAAAACTAACAAACACAGCAACAGCAACAACAACAATTCATTTACACAAATGGAGCACACACACACTCTCATGAAAATGTATCTATATACACACACAAGTGCATATATATAGTATATATATATGCATCAGAGATCAACAGGGATTATTCATCAACAGCTAGCCGGGCAGAGTTCCATCATGTTGATCTATGATGCTGCTGCCTTCTGCCTTCTGCCCTCTGCCTGCTGCCTGCTTCCTCTTCTTCTTGTGTTCGCCAAGTTATTTTTGTAATGTTTGGTTTTATTTTTGGTACGCTCGTTTATTTCCACAAAAATATAGCAAAAAGTCCAAGCACACATATTGCCCATATAAGAAAACGAGCCCAAGCTATAGGGAGGAAGAGATTTTTCTGATTTTCCAATACACTCAAACGTTCGGTGCGAGTGTGTGTGCGTGATATTTAGACCTGACAGGCGGAGAATTGCAAAGGTACAACAGTAAATGGTCGTGCAATGAACTTTCCAAATATTAAACCAATTTCATGGTTTACTTAAATTTTTCATAAACAATTTAAAGTTGAAAAAAAATCCGTTTTGTTTTTTTCTCAACAAAATCTGAAGTTTAAAATGAAATTGGCATTAAAAAACCAACTGTTTACATAGCTGATTCATGGCAAGAGGTAACACTGTACCATGCACACACACACATACTCACATGCACATCAAGCTATATATGTGTGTGTATATATATACATTTATATATCATGTATTATACACTACAACTACTGTGCGCCAATTTACGTGCGTTGTCGTCTTTCTTGCTTGTTTTTGTTAAAAATAAAAACAGATTTCGAACAGAGAGGCACACACTGGCAGAGGCAACTAGCTAAACGAGATCTATACACAATATATATGTATATGTGCATATACATTCGCATACATATGTATATATAGAGAGATGTACTTTCGTACAGCCAGGGCCGTCACTCACTTGGACACATGTAGTCGCCCCATTGGGATGCGCTCGTGCTCCAGCAGCTCTCCTACACCATGCTGATTATACCTATATATAGGGCAAGGTATTGGGGATATTGCCGGGTGGGCAGACGTTAACCGTTAACCAGGAGTTGGCAGGCTGATCTGTTTTGCTTTGGTCTCGGAAACGGCGCCTCAATCAGTGAGCTCATTGCTGCATACGATCTATATGCATATATATATACGTATGTGGAATGTCGAGTGGCCCAGCATATGTGACACTGATTCAGGTGTAGTCAATAGTTACATATAATACATATATATATATTCAAGTATATATATATATATCTGCTACAAGCACAAATCGCATCGAGCGCCAATGTGCAGGGTGAAGGAAAATAGTTTTTCCTTTTCGTATTGTTTGTAGTTTGCCGTTGTTGTTGCTGTTGTTGTTGTTGTTGTTGTTGGCAACTTGCTGAACAATTAATAAGTCAAATCGAAACGAAACGACTAATTGCATTTGCCAAAATGCCAATGAGGCATTGACATTGAGCGTACACCCTGTCCCCCCAGACCAGACCCAGACCCACCGCTTGTTCTGTAGCACCCAACCCCGAGAAATGTATCGAGCGATCTTCAATCTTCACAGGGCTATCGAGCAGGTTTCTTTATTGCAAACGCCAGCAGAGTCGCGAGTCGCGTCGAGCAAGTCGAACCTAACGCAATTCATTCACATTGGGTTTGATGATATAGCCCAGTGAAAAGTTAGATAACAGATTCAGATAGTTCACACCACTCATATAAATATATATCATACACATATATATATATATCGCGATTACTGGCAGTCCCGCGATGTCTGTCGAACTAAGCGAACTGATCGCACTCAGCTGCCCGGACTTGACTGCACAACCGGATGGCAGTGGCCAGATCCAGTTGATGATCAATTCGGAGCGACGCCTGAGCATCAAACAAATGACGGCCACGGAGCTGGCCAATATGCGTGCCGCTGCTGCCGCCGAGGCCGAGGCACGGGCTCGTGCTGAAGCCGAGGCCAAGGCGCGAGCTTTGGTTGAGCAGCAGGCGAGCCTGGCCGCTGAGGTGGTGGCTCAGGCGCGAGCCCGTGCCGCTCTTGAGGCTGAACAGCAGCTGCAGCGTGCCAGGGAGCAGCAGGAGCGTCGTCAAGAGGCGGAGCAACAGAGACAGTCGGACGCCACGCCCAGCCCATCGCCCAAGGGCGTGCTGCCGTCCATTGAGGCGCCGCGCGATCGCATCACTTCACTGCCCAACATCCTGGATGATGCCATGGAAATGCATTTGCTGAACGCAGCCGATGGCGGCGGCGGCGGCAACTCAGACGACTCCTCGCCCACCAAGAGCACTTCGCACCTGGCCGACTCGATTGAGATGCTGCGCATGCAGCGGGCAGCTCGCGCGGCACGCTCCAAGAATCGCAGCCGAGAGCGTAGCATCTCGCCGGCGGCCGCACGTCTCCATGAGAGGAGCGCAGCACCCGACCGCCTGCACAGCTCCAGCATCAGCAGCATGGACTCGGCCCGCGCCAGTGGCAGCCGTCGCGGCAGCACGGCCAGCGCCATGAGCAGCGATCCGGCTGCAGAGCTGGCAGCGCCGCCCAAGTTTCCAATCTCCAAGACGGTTTCGGTGCCGAACATGAGTCGTCGTCGGAGCAGTTTGACTGCTCTTTTTCCGGGACCTTCCCCGTTGGTGGCGCCGGAACCGACGCTGCACACCAATCCTGAGGCGCCGCCGGAAACGGAGGCACCCGGTCGAGGCGGCCACGAGGATGGATATCGTGAAATACCCAGCGGCAAAATGGTGCATCGCACAAAGACTCCGCCGCCAGTGGGCGCCAACCTGGGCGTATGCCTCAAGCGGGTGACAGCGCCTAGCGGTTCGGTTACCATCAAACCCAAGGACTCGCCCATGCTGGGCGTGGTGCTGCGCAAGGTGGAGAAGAAGACGGTGCCCCAAAAGAGCGTGCTGGACGATGAGAAGCCGCTGTATCATCTCTCGATCGTGCGCAGCGATAACAAGGAATACAAACCGGCGCCCAAGCCAAAACCCAAACCAGCTCCGCCGGCGGTGAAGCCATCGCCGGGCGGCATTCTGACCGGGCCACAGGTGGTGCGCACTGTCAACCGGCCGGCGGCAGTGGCCAAGCCGCAGCGACCACAGCCTGGGGTGCCAGTGACCATAACGAAAATCGAGGGCGATAAGATAATAATAATCAAAAAGATAATTGTGCCGAAGAACAGTAAGATACCGGAGCAGTATCTGCAGGTTGGTTCTGTCTGTCTGGTGATCTGTTGTCTCGTTCTGCGTCTAGTGTCAGTGGGTGTCTCTCTTTCTCTCTCTCTCTCACTTTTTCTCGCTACCCCACCTCCTCCTTCTCGTCTCACACAGTCTCTTTCTCCCTCTCTCCGCTCTTTCTCTGTATCGAAATGTGTTTGAATTTGCCTCGATATTGCTGCTGCAGTCGATATATTTATCGATTAACAAAACCATGTTCACACACACACACACACATGAACACACGTTGTATTGAGCTCCTGGCTCGGAACTAGTTCACATAATTAGCGTTAACTCCTTCCATTTAGTTCGCGCGCGCGTTTCTTCAGTTGTTTAAATGAGTCAAGATGCTGGCAAAGCCGTCGCCGTCAAATCAACCCAGTTGGAGGCACAGCCCCCAATGGGCGCCGCTGCCTGCCCCAGCGCCAACGCAGTGAAGCCCAGCGAAGAGGCATTCGTGTCGTCGTCGTCGTCGCCGTGCATCATGCAAAAGCCAACACCGCCGCCCGCGAGCGGCCAACAGTTCTTTCAGGTCGTGTCGCCGCAGTTCGCGTCGGTGCTCTCGTCCAGCTTGCCAGAGACCAAGTGTGCGGTGCGCTCGCCCATCTCATCGCCGCTGGCGCTGCGCAAGAATCGGCCGCTGCTGCCCGCCAGTCCGAAGTCGACGCCTCCGCTGCCGCGCAAGCATCACACCATGGCCTATAATGCGGCCACGGGAGCTATCACAACACCCGCCCGCCCCATGGCCACCATAGCCAGCAGTCCAGTGTCCAGCATATCGCTGTCGTCGTGCAGCTCGCCGTCGTCGTCGCCACCGCCGCCACCGGTGCCGTGTCGTGCACCCAAGCAAAAGGCGAGCACGAGCCAGGGCAAGATTCCAGGCGAGATCGACTTGGATAAGCTGCTGCAGCAGCAGCAACAGCTCGAGGAGAAGTCGGCGGCGGCCACCAGCAGCGCCAAGCTGGATGCCAATTTCTATGATGCCGAGATCGAAATGATGAACAAGTATTTGAAGAGTCTGCCCGACTACAGCGAGCTGGATCGCAAGCTGCATAAGGAGTTCCAGGAGTGCGAGGATCTCTATGACCGGCTCAAGCGCCAGCAGCAACAGCAGCCCCTAACCAAATCCAACTCGCATCAGTCTGTGGCGGCCAAAACTGCATTGCCAGTGGCTGCCGGCGGGCTATCGAAATCCTCCTCGATCAACTTCGCCAACAATCTGACCTCCAGTCGGGCACCTCGGCTGGCCTATCCCTCGATCTTCGCCCAGTCCAATGCCAGCGAACAGCCCAAGCTGCAGCGCAGCATATCCAGCTCCAACATGCCCCTGGGCACGCCCAGTTGCGGTCCGTTGCGCCCACAGGAGGCGCCAAAGAGCGGACTGCATAGCGACTCGAATCTGTCGCTCAACAAGCAGCTGATGAACGACTTCTGGAGCGAGAATCTTTGCAGCTCGAGCAAGCGCCAGACGCCGAAGCGCACGTTCTGGAACTATGAGAAGATCTGCGGTGCCCAGCTGGGCGATGCTGGGCAGCCCTTCAAGGTGGATGCCAAAACGGCCAAGAAGCTGGCCATATTTGATCCCACAGTTGCTGAGGCGGCGCAGAAGGAGCTGCAGAAGCAGCAGCCGATCCAGCAGCAACCGCAGCAGCAGCAGCCACAGCCACAGCCACATAGCCATCGCCTACAGAAGAACGCCTCGTTGTCGCACTTGGATCTCAAGGTCAGGCAGGCCGTGACCAAAGACGATCTCTACAAGCTCATTGTATGCAGCGAACAGTCGCCCACGTCAGCAGCGACTGCGTCGACGACAACGACGACGACGTCAACGCCTTTCACCAGTCGCGTGCCCGTCAAGCAGCAGCAGCAACAGCAGCCGCTGCCAGCTGCTCAACAGCTCAACAAGAGCGTCTCCATGACGCACGTTTCCGGCATTGCGACGGCAGCGACGCCGTTGCTGCGCAGCTCCAGTCGCACGCACATACCCTGCTACATGAAGCATCTGCCATCGCTCAGCCGCAGCACATCCAACTCGGCGATATTGCTGAGCACACCAGCCACAGCAGCAACAACTGGGACGACGCAGGCGCGCAAGGAGCCGCCTACAGTGAAGCAGCAGCAGCAGAAGCCAAATGCTGGCGTGCTGAAGAGCTCCAGCAGCTCTTGTGTGCCGTCGCCACGTTGTGCCGCTGCGCTGTTTCGCCGGCCCACGGAGCCAGCAAAACAGGCTGGCATTGGTGCTGCTGCATCGTCGTTGGCCACGCCCATTGCGGAGGCAACGAATGAGACGAGCGGCTCGCTGGAGCGCAAGTCGGAGAAGAGCAACAGCACTGTGAGCAGCAGCAGCTTCACTGTGACCAACTGCTGCACCACGCATCTGCCGCAGCTCTCAAAGTTCACCTCATCCTTTCACATACCCTCCACAGTTGAGCACAATGCCAACTTAGATCAGCCAGCAACAGCATCAGCATCAGCTGTTGCAGCGCCAACAACAACAACATCAGCAGCAGCACCGGCAGCAGCAACGACATCAGCAGCGACAAAGCGTCAAAAAGACGTCGACAACAAGCTAGAGAAATGTCTAAATGACATGCTAAAGCTAAAGAGCAATAACAACAATGCAATTATGTCACAATCGCTGACAGCTGAACACAAAGAGGAAAGCAGCGCCGGCAGCAGCAGCAACAACGCCACCAAAATCGCCAGCGAATCGCAAATACCCGTGCCAGTGCAGCTGTACGATCCGCAGAAGCCGCTAATGCAGCAGCAGCAGCAGCAGCAGAGGATGGCATATCCCATAGGCAAATCCAACTCTACGTCGCAGCTGCCGATGGGCTATCAGCGTCTACTGCAACAGCAACATCAGCCACAGCAACAACAGCAGCAACAGCAGCAGCAACAACAACAACATTATCCACAACAAAAGCGTCCATTTTTAAACTGGAACTCGTTTGCCTGCTCAGTCATGAACGGCAGCAGCGATCCCTTCCAGCAGAACCAACACCAACACCAACAGCAACAGCAGCAGCAGCAACATCAGCCACACAAGCTGCAGCAATCTTATTCCTCGTCGCATGTGGCCAAACAGGCGCCCAAGTCCAGCTCCGGCCTGGCCATGTTCCTGCAAAAGAACACCAACAAGGAGAACAAATTCGGGCAGCCCCAAGCGCAGCAGCAGCAGCCCCCATTGGGCATGGCGCCGCAAATGTATGGCAACAGCTATCAGGCACTCATTAATAATGCAAAGTCCGTTTATCCGCGGACTGGCGCTGCGCCGCTGACCCATTCGGCGTCCTTCAGTGCGGCGCAGCGTCCCAGCATGATGCAGCCGCATAATTATGGCTATGGCATGATGAGTCGCAACTATTACAATCTGCCCAAGCAACAGCAGCAGCAGCAGCAACAACAACTGCAGCAGCAGCAGCAACAGCAACCACATGAGCGTAAACCACTGCAAACCTTCGATCCGTATGCGTATCTCAAACCTAGTCAGAGCCAACTGATGCACCCGGTCAAGTACCAGGTGCAGTCCCAGCCTCAACCACATCCGCATACGCAGTATCTGAACGCTTCCGTTGGCACGTCTGGCGTCGGTGCTGGCGGTGCTGCGCTTCAATACGATCCAAATACAAATACGCAATTGTTTTATGCATCGGCGGGTATGCAACCACAGGCAGCGCAGCAACCGCACCAGCAGCAGCAGCAGCAGCAGCAACAACAGCAACAACATCAGCAACCAATACAACAAAGCAATTCTGTCATATTCAGCCATACAAAACAACAACAACAACAACATCAACAACAGCAGCAGCAGCAACAAAATGAAATGTCCAAGTCCATTCTGGGCCAGCATTTCATCGAGGTAGATTCGTTGCCCAACTATTGCATTTGTTATTGTCTTGTGTCTTGTGCCTTGTTCTTGTTACTGTTATATGTTGCACACATCACGTGTCCATGCCTCCTGCTAGCAAACTAACACGGCCAGCATAACAAACGAACGCCCGGCGTGGCAGCGCTCAGCCTCCCGAAATAGAGAACTGACTCATCCATGCTCCATGCAAGAGGCCAGCCGCTTGCTCTTCAGCTACCTCTGCGCGCTCTCTCTCTCTCTCTCTGCTTGGGGCTGTGTGTGGGGAGGGCCAAGTGCACAATTTGTCGATTGTGACGAGCACTTCCTGTGCGAAGCTCGCTCTGCCTCGCTGCCTCCCCTTGCCCACTCTCTGGTCGCCTTGTCGCAGCTGCTCTTTTGCGGCCTTTCGCATCAGACTCTTGCACTTGCCTCGAACGGGCGACAACGTTGCACAATCAACAAAAGAGAAATAGAAAAATCTTAGCCGCAAAACCGAAATTCAATGTCAATTTTGTGGTTCGCTAAAATTAGCAATACACTTAATTTATGTTGTTTATTTAGTGCAAAAAAAAAAAAAAAAGAAAGGAAAAAATGAAAAAAACACTTAAGATTGATTCGCTTTTAAATTTCCAAAAACAAAAACAAAACTATAATAATCTAATGTTCGTATTTTGTTTAAATATTGCCAAACTTCTATTTATAATTTAAATATATGTAATACGGGGCCCCAAACAAACCTCACACGAAATGCCAAACAATCGGCCACAGAAATGCCTGCCTTGCCTCTAAACTATGTAACAGCCCCAGCCACAATGAGGCAGACATAAAAACATGCTTATAGCAAACTTTCTGCTGTATTCTCTTCCTCTCTGAACAGCCAAAGACCCACAACGAAGACTGATTACCCTTATGCTTAGCCCAAGCAAAACAATTTCTCTTTTACTTCGCTCTTGCTGATGTTCCTAATGGGTTCAAAGATATGATATTATTGATGGCTCAATAAGAGTGAATATCTGAACAAATATATTGGTTAGAAAGCAACATAAATTTGACAGAAGAAACATTCATTTGTAATAATATGTGACCCAGCATAGTACAGATCTTCGAATTTTTTACCTTATCTCGATTCTCTATGTAAAAAACAAAAAAGGAAATTTTTAATAATATTCAGTGCATTTTTTGAGAAAACGAGTAATACTTTTACAGGCTGTTATCATTTTGGATCTCAAATCCCAAAATCGCTCAACAAAATATAGTCTCCTAACTATTTAATAATAATTCGAATAGGTATTTCCTAAATTTGTTAGCTTATTAGTTCATTCAGTTAACAATTGCATTGAGAGAATGTTTTTGCTTGTAGTTTTTGGCTTTAGACCTTCGTTCTATATATTATCTCTAGTTTTGGCATAGAGTATTCCTCTGCGGTTTTAAGCCAACTGACGTTCGCTTTGGCGTCTGCTTGTGGTTAGTTTTGCTTCTTCTTTTTTTCGCTACCTAGCCAAACAATAATAGAAACAGGCGGCAGAGGAGGCAGCAGCAGCAGCAGTAGCAGCAGCAGCAGCTCTCCCGCAGTGGCCACAAGCGCGAACGCCCGGTTCAGAGATCGAAACGGAGCGTGTTCTATGTTCCGCCCTGAGCACATACTCGGCAGCTACTTTGGCGCTGTCGTCGTAGCGATATTTTTCAATTTTTATAATTAGTATTTGTGGCGTGCGCTTTCGTAAATGTTGCGCTGATTTCGGATTGTTTTTTTTTTTTGTTTGCTATTTCTTCTTGAGAACGCAAAGACGCGCTGCTTGAAAAATACAAATTTTCAAAATTATTAAATAAAAGTCGACGAAACGCGAAAAATTCGAATGGCTGCAAGTGCATGTAAATCAGGACATCAATTTGCAATATGCAAAAAATAAAACGAAATTCGAAAGTGGAAATTAAATTTGGAATCGGAATCGGAATAGCTCTTGAAATTGTCGCTGCTTCTGTTGTGTGTCTATTTCTGTCGAATAGCTGCCAAATATCGTACAATTTCAATTATTCTAACAACACATGAAAATACGCTCTTTATTTTGTAAATACGTATATTCTATTATACTATACTTAACTTATATGCATACAGTACAATGCAAATGCTCGCCCCGTCGAGTAAATGCCAAAAACAAATCTAGCTATAGCACGAAAACAGAAAACAGACAACAGAAGTCGAAAATTGATTCATTAGATAGTTCGACTCAGAGGAGGAATCTTAACTATTAGCCAGTCAACCCGCTTTCCAGTCTGATCGCTTCCCCTCACTCTCATATGGATCTTCACGCATATTATTAATACTATCGGATTTTCGTCAGAGCGAAAAAGAAGAAGAAGAGTAGACGGAAGCCCACGCAAGAGAAGAAAAAAATGGCTACATTTTTAAGTCGTTTTCATCGGGAAAAAAGTGAAAAGATTTTGCCAAATGCTGTGAATAGCGCAAACAGCGGTGGCAAGAAAACAGCTGACATGGAGGCGGCGACGCCAACTGAGGCAGAAGCAGCAGCAACTGCGCCAGCGGCAGCGGCAGCGCAGTCGCGTCCACAGCGACGCTACATGCGCAGCGCAACGGCGGCGAGCGTAACGCAGCTGCTCTCTGAAAGCTGCAACAGTTTGCTGCAGCGCTTTCGACGCAATCCGAGCGAACGACCTGATAACAAACAGCAGCAGCAGCAACAACAACAACAGCAGCAGCAGCGCAATCGGTAATCGATGCAAAAGAAATGAAGCGAAAGAACTGCACAAACACACACACACGCACACAAACACACACACATGCACACTCACTCGTATAAATTATTTTTAATTTTGCGGTGATTTTATTTTTTTGTTTTCTTTTTTTTTTTTTTTTTTTTTTTTTGTCAAACAACAAAAACTCGGTCAAAATGTTGCCAGACGCGCGTCGCAGCTCTCATCATTTATTTTATTTT